ATGAGGTTGGGCAGAGCTGGGAGGAAGAGGGAGTCATGGCAACTTTTGTGCTATACATTTGCTCTGGGATTGCATTTCCCTCTGAAGAGCCGGGTGGAGGATTCTTGGATGTGATTGTTGTCACTGCCAGGCCCCAAAAATGGAAATGGAAACCTAAGTTCATAGCTGGTCACTTTGGCCTCCTGGCTTCATGGTTAAGGGGCTTGAGGCTTGTGGTAATGAACTGACAGCCAGGACAAGTGCGTTCCGTTCCTGATTTGGACATTAGCCTTGCTTCTTGATAGAAGTTACCTTACTCCCATGTGCCTATTTCACCATCTCCTCACATTTCTTCTCTGCCTTTTATCTTGCATTTATAGAGCAGGGCACAGTACTGTCTTTTACTAGATCAGGGGAGTCAGAACTACTAGAGTCTTGTCCTGGCTCTGCCCCTGACCTTATTCATGATCATGGGCAAATTATGTAATTACTCAGAACCTCAACTTCCCCAGCATTTCTGAAACACCTTGAGAATCCCAGGCAATAGCCTCTGTAGCAGTGCAGAGAGATAGTAATGATGATTCCCTGCAAGGAACAATCAAATTTAGCTTTTTTTAGGGAAATGGTTACACCAGCCTAAATTGTGAGATGAATACTAAATATTAATTACTATGACTAGTCACAAGGTACATAATCAGTATGATTCTCTTCAATATCAAACACCTTAATTGAAAAAAGAACACCTACTGGGTGCAGTTGAACCCAGTACTCAGCTGGGGAAATTGAGGCCCAGAGAAGGGAATGTCTATGCAAAGGGGTCAGGATGGGCTGTGGGAAGAGAATCCCTGAGTTCCTAGCTCCCAGTCTCAGGCTCTGTCTCCTAAAGGAGGCAGTCTCTTTCATACTCTACTTCCGGTCCCTCCCTCCTTCTGGGGAGGGACAGTTACTGGCTGGTCAGGAAGCTTTTGCCTGGAGGAAACCCCCAGCCAACTGAGATTTCCTCCTGTTGGTGAAGCTTTGAGGGTGGGATCTTGGCTGATAGCTGGCACCCAGTGAAGAAGACTCATGGTTATAAAGCTCTACCTCAGGGGATGTGTTCTGTGCAGTTGCTAGCAGCTGTTTGTCTCTCTTGCCAGGTACCAGAGGAGCAGGACTGACCCCCTTTACAGAAAAGCCCAGATCTCTTTCACAGAAGCCCTGAGCCTGTGGCAGATCAACTTGTATGAACTTTACCTGCGACTGAAGGGATCCCAGCTGGGCAACTGGGTCATCGCTCTTCTGAGCTGGATGCACCGTTCTCTGTACTGACATGAACTTTGGGGAGGAGCCAGGATGATTATCCCCCCATCTCTGTCCTTCACAGCACACCTGCCTTCCTGACCATGTCTGTCTGTAACTCCCAGGAGCTATTTCCTTGTAACCGGTTGTGCCATCTTTTCCTGTCACAGCATCAGCTTCTCTCCAGCAGTAAGAGAGGTGGGAGCATGGAGGGGCTGGGGGCCAGCACTGCAGTGTTCTGTCTGACGTGGGAAGCAGTGGTATGATCCAGTGGGAAAGGCAGGAAGCCTGGGAGTGAGTCCCCAGGTCTGGGCAGAGCCCTTATACAGAAGTCCTATGGGTCCAAATCGGAAATTAGACCCTCTCTCAAGGTCTTTTTAATAGCCAGCCTAGAGAGTTTAAGATTTACATCCCTGCCATTGAATTCTCCAGGACACTTCACAGAGCTCCAGAAGGAGGAAATCATTCCTTTTAAAATGCTGTGGAGTTTGAGAGTTGCTACAGAATCCAATCGATCTCATTGCTGTGAAACCAGACAGGTGTTTTCTCTAAGAGGAAAAAGATCACATTGTTAGAGCTGGGGCCTGAAGCTCAGGACTCTTGAGTTTTTTTGTTTTTTTTTCCCAGCTTTAGGAGAGGAAATGGCCTGAATTGCGAAAGCAAGAGTCTAGGAACCAAAAAATCAGATGTCTGTTCCTGTGGAGTCTGTCAAGTTTCTTAACTGCTCCTTACCTCAGTTTCCTGGAAAATGGGGGTAATGATACTTGTCCCTCCCTGAATACCCCAAGGGGAATGTGCTGGGGGATCCCAACCCTTAGCTCACAACTCATTGCTGATGGTGTATGCGTATTGTACTGTACTGTTGCACAGGAAAATAAATCAGGATGTTACATGAGAGAGACTTCATGGGAGAAGTGCTTTGTGGCCCACCCCATTTGCCCCTCCCCCTTTGAACCACAACATCGTTTTTAGTTCTTTGCTTCCATGAGTAGGATGGCATTCTGGGCTGTTAATCCCTTACAAGCTGAATGAAATGCCATGCCTGGACCTGTTCCATTTCATACGTGGCCTTCCCTGTCTAGCAGACTTGATCCACCCCAAGGTCAGCTGCTGGTGAGTCAGATGTGCTCCCGTGGGGATGATGGAGCCTGTGCCATGCTGCCTGGGTGACTCATGTCTTCTGCCCCACACATCCATGCAGAGCCTACTCCTTTCTTTAGCATGGGAGCAGGCTGCAGTGCATCTCTGAGCTTTGAGATGCCCCCTCACTGCTGTGCAGGGAGCATCTTGCCTCAGCCCTGCTCATGACATTTTGCTGTTCCTGCCTCAGACAAAAACTGCCACTAGTTTGGTGGTGCAAGTGACAGGCCTGGTCATTCTGAGTCTGCAGCTACAAGAAAAGCATTGGAAAGCCTTGGCCAGAGGCCTCACTTCTGCCAAGCCTAGTCAGACTCTCTTTTTGCCTTGCTGTTCCCTCTGGAGCTGCTTGCAAGTAGCAGGGAGGGATGGGGGCTCTGGGTGGCCAGACATGTGGGGTGCCCACCGGGCTGTCAGTGATGGCATGTGGCATCAAGCAGTGGGTGCAACCTTCCAGATCCCTTTGGTCTTTCTTCTAGATGATCTCTGCCAGGTGGCTTCTTTACTGGGCACAAAGGAGCTGTTTGAGATGGGAACCTGCTTCACTGTCAGCAGAACTGGTGGAGCAAGGATTGCTACCAGCTGTGGGAGAGTGCAGTGTGTGAAAGCATGCATCTCCTGCACCTGTGTGAAACCTGTCAATGAGTGTCACCAGACATGTTAATCTAACACTGTGTATATGTGTGTGTGAGAGGGAGGGAGGGAGAAAGAGAGTGTGTATGTGCATATGTGTGCATGAAAGTGTCAGTGATGGTTAAAGAATCCCCTTGTCAGTGTCTGTGTGCATTTGGGAGCATCTGCCTCCTTAGTGTGAAAAGGTGTGTTAGCGGCAGTGTCTGGCAGGATTGTTGGAAATGGGGGATAGATACATGTGTTTCAGGATGTGGCTGTCTTAGGGAGCATGTCTCTTACCTGCAGTATACCTCAATCCAGGCCATGCACCCAGACCACTCACTGGTCAATTCTCACTGGCTTGTTAGCTGATAACCAAACTGCTGGAAGAGAGATCTGCTTAAGCTGTCTGCCTCTTTCTTACAGGGAAGGGAAGAGCTGGAGGAAGGAGCTGAGCTCTCTTTGTAATGGTAAGAGAATGGGATAGGGGAGAAAAGCCTGGCCAAGCCTTGTCCTGGAACTGTAGCTCAAATCAGACATCCACAGCCTGAACTTTCATTTGAATCTTGAAACCTGACTCGCAGGGATTTTAGCAAGGGGTCAGGGCAGCTCTTGGGACCAACCCTGTAGCCCTTAGATGGTAATCCTTGCTCACAAGAACAGTCTCTCTGATGTCTCTGCCACTGAGTAGGTGTTTGAAGCTTACACAATACTAATTAAGGGGATGGAGAAACAGTTGTGGGCCTATACCCTATTCCCAAACAAGGCTTCCTTGTGGGAAACTGAAGAGTGGAGAAACTGAAGTCAGGGCTGTCCAGGGACACCTATGACTGAGGGCCACTCACTGAGTGGTCCCATGGTCTAAGTGTCCTTGCAGACTCCTCTGTGTTGACCTACTGGAGCATTCTAGAGAGACCCATTGCAGAGTTGTCCCAAATAGATGTCACAGCAGGTCATCTCCCTTTAAGAGAAAGATCACCTTCATTTCTCCCATTTTCCAGAGGAGAACACAGGCCCTGTGAGCTGGAATGGCTTCCCCAAAGTCAGAGCTACCATTAATGGTGGTAGTTAGGACCAGAGCCCTGGCAGTATTCATATCCAGTCCTGTGCCTTCACCCCACCAACATTCATCTACTGAACCACTAATCACCCTGTTTAATGCAGCCTTCAATTACAAAGACCATGGGAAAACTGCAGCCCAAACAATGGTGCAGTAGTGTTGTTGACCCATTGTAATGAACAAAGGGCAGGCTGGGCATCACGGAGCTTTGTCTCTGCTCCCTGTTCGCTTTGAACACAGAGTCCTGCCCGCAAGATCTGTAGGGCGCCTGACAAAGTGTCATCCCTTACCTTTTCTCACAGACAGTGCAAGCCTTGCCTGAGGATGGACTCAGTAAAAACTGAGGGTATGACCCTTTCTTGTTCCCACTCTGTCTCTGTGTAAAGTTCTCACAGATGAATGTGCTAAAATGGCTTTAAAAAGCTCCCGCCTCCTTTTTGTCCTGTTTTGCTGCTGTCAAATGCTGGCAGTGCTGGATCAGCTGTGAATAGTCCTGCCTCCCCTTGCCATAGTCTGTAATTATCTTTTGCTCTCACTGAAAAAACCCAACAAAAACACCTCCCCCCTACCTTTGCTTCCAACTCTTCCTTGCTATTCTACACAAGTATTTTCCCTCCCTGGGTTCATTTTCAAGGGAGCTGAAAGACCATAATGATCTTGTTTCTGTCCTAGCTCCCTCTGCTGGCTCTGTGGCAGCACTTCACAAATCAGGTGCAGAGAGATTGTACACCCAGGATTTGACTCCTGTGTACAGGGATTATTTCTACTCCTGGAAGCAGACTTCATCCTGAATCCTGTCAGAGTTAGAGCAGGAAAGGTACAGAACAACTTGGAGGCCTCTTTTTCTACATGCTGTATATCAAATGCTATCTTAGATTTCTACAGGACTTGTCACCCCAAGGCTCCCAGTGCTCTATTATAAACTGCTTGCTGTAGAGCCCGGAGTCATTTCATCCAGCACTGAAATGCAGCCACCTCTGAAGGGGCCAGGACAGTTGTTTAACAACGACACAAAATTGCCCAACAGTTCAAATCAGTCCAAGGCCTCAGCATCCTCAGCGTACTCTGTATTGTTACTTCTGTTCAGCCAATCAAACCAGTGTAATCCCCTCTCATATCAGCATCTCATTCTTCTTAAACAGTTGTGCAGTTCAGTTCCTATAATCAAATCAATTTGATACCCATTTCCCCCAGCAGCCAGTCCCCTAAATCAATGCATGTCTCCCATCTTCTGATAGGCCTCTTTAGCTGCAGCACTGCCAGCATTTTTTCCAAGCTGGTGAAGGAGATCCTGGGATAGGAGATCTGTCTGGATTTTCCTCCTCCTCCATGCTCAGACTACAGCTGGGAGAGGGAGCCCAGATGAGTTCCCTCAGCTATTTAGAGGCTGTCCAAGAGTGTCAGCTGGCTACGGAAGTGGCAGACGGCACCCTCCTCAGCTCTGAACTGCATCTCCTGCAAACTTGAAAAGGGGCCATCCCTGCTCATCCAAACAGCTGGTGACTGGTCAGAATGCTATCTGCAGTCACACTTGCCCTATCTTAGGATCAGCTCTGGCCCGGGTGGCTGTTCTGTGGATCACTGGGGAAGCCAAGCTAATATCTGTCCATCACAAAAGAGATGGGCATGAGGCAAACAAATGGTGCAGAAATGCATGTGAAGGGAGCCTGGGTGCAGAGTCTAGGCTGAGTTCTATGCTGATGGGATTGTACTGCCCTGCTAGGACTGGTGGCCACCCTGCTGAGTCAGCACCACCTCTTGGCAAGCCGGGGAGAATTCAGAATCCGTTCCAGGAAGCCAAACAAACCTAATGGAGGCACCAAGTCTGACTCATCCTACAGAGTCATTCTGTGCTCTGGCTGAGTGGTTAACATACAGCTGTTGGTTGGTTCCATTCCCTGCACTGCACCAGAACCAGTGAGGACTGCCTGTGGTATCACTGTGGAGAAGTCCCACAGTTGCTGAACATGTGTTATTTAATACCCTTTGGAGACAGTCCTGTGAAAAGTACTAACTTTGCTATGACATGATGGCACTTAGCATATGTTTCACTGACTGGATGCATGGACGCTGGTGTGTTAAGTGTGCTTAACACATCCTACATATACTGTGCAAAAAGGCTGTCATAGAAGGCTGTAGCTGCTGTTTCCCAGATGAATATTAATGCTGCAGAACACTTCCGTTTGTCCTCTGAATGAACAAGGGTGAAAAAGTTGGCAGTGAAAGGTGCCACTATGATAGATCTAACCAGGAGCAGCCTGGGTAGACATGGAGCAAGGTTCTCCTGCAGTGTCCCACCACACTATGCCTTGGGCCTCTCCAGTAAGATAGTCTACTGAAAGGCCAATCCATATCTGAATCTCTTCTGCTAGGAAAAGGAATGAGGACTTATCATTCATCTCTCACAAGGAAGTGAACAGCCAGTAGATGATAAAAATATGTTGTTTGCGATCCTAGCTGCATTCACACCAATGACCCAGAAGGGAAAGGCTCCCTCCTCCTGGTCCTCCGAGCTGCTCTAGTGACTGCTGGGAAATGACTAAAAGGAGGATGAATTACCAGCTGCCTCGCCTTGCACGTTCCTTTGTATGCATGATGCCGTGGCTGCTACACGTGAATTGTCTCGCGTTGTGTTAGATGAAATAAACCTGAACGGGCCGAATGCTTTTTGTGCTATCTAATCCCTAATCCTTTTGTGTTTGTCTCTCGAGGAGGTGATTACCATGCTGCCCCTGTCCACAACGAGGGGAATTATCCTCGCCTGATTTCCCGTAATGTTGCAATGTCCAAGGTGGTAATAACTCTGTTGACATTCCAAACATGAAGCAAAATCTATTTGAAAAGCAGCACGAAGACTCGTACAGTGCTATGGTTTAGTTGATATTAATTTTCCAATGGGGAGGAGGGTGGAGGGGGTGATGCTAGGAAAGAACAGCCCTTTCGAGGAGTAAATACCAGGCAGCCAGCTTGCCACTGAATTGATTTGCACGTGTTAAAATGCTTCCGCCTCTGGCTTTATGTGACTGCTCTTCATCTGCCTGTGAAAAAGGCAAACCCAGACATTGTATCAGACAAGACGTGGACCT